AAATGTATCTTAAAATGCCCAAATTCAGCTTTATGTAAAACTTAATAAATCTTGTTTTTTACAAAAAGAAATGTACTTAGTGCTTTAGCTTGTGGTAAAAAAAAAAAAAAATCTGTAAGAAAGCTGAATTTTGCTGTTACAGATATTTCAAAAACCAGTACTTGTTTAGTGTTTGGAGATCTCGCAGCTGAATCAAAAGCTTATATTTTAAGTTGTTGATAAAAGTTGAAATCTCTAGCACTTGTGGGAAGTATCTACTACTGTTGCTCTGAGTTCCACTCAAATAGTTCTACTGGTTTAATGACCTAATGGCTGTTAAAACTTAGTTTATAGAAAAAGACAAAGCTTTTCTTAAAGAATGAGCTTAAGCTCCACATGCTAATGAGCAGATGTTTCTAGGGCACTTGTGTTGCTTGTATGAGGCTAACTGGAATATGTATTTTGATTGAAAGTTGTCTAGGAAAGATTTGCACTTGTTTTCTATTCCATCTTCAAAAGTACACATCTTATGTGTAGTAGTTATTAAGGCATAAACTGATGAACTATGTAAGGGCAATTCTGCAAAATCACCAGCAGATCAAAGATTTTAGTTGTGTAAATGAACCTGACAGTCCTATTTTTCCCACAAGGCATGGCAGCCTCATGGGAAAATAACTCTAAAATTACTAATTTAGTATGAGGAAGTGGTTCATGAGCCAGAGTCAAAGGTGGTATTATTCTCTGGTGGTAGAGAAGGCACAGGACAACTGCTCAATTAATTGTAATGCTGAAGTGACAAGAGAATAGTTCAGGTTTGTACATGAAGTTCTGATTGCGTACAGTACACAAGACTATATGACCTGTTTGAAACAGTCTGTGAATTTATTCTGCTTTATCAAACCTGTAACCATACATCTGGGTATTTTTCTTGGGCATAGATACATGTGCGGACCTAAATGTTTACTGAACTGGTTCTTCAAAAGGCAGTTTGCAAGGTTGGGGAAGAATGGCCTCTACTTTCAAGGCACAAATCATACTGCACTTGTGAAAAACCACTGATTTTGATGCTCCTGTTGGTACACCAGAAGACCACAGGCACTGCACCGTATTTGAAGAAAGGTTACCAGCTGACATACTTGAATCCGGGTTGGACCTCGGCAGGTTTTTTGATTCAACATTTGGCATCACTGAAATTTGGTAGTCTTAAAATAGCCTAAAAATGCTTCTGCATGTTAAACACCAAATCTTCATTGCATCTGTGCACTGCACTTGTGGGTTACCGCTTTTGTGCGGCTCCAGGTCTCAAACTGAAAACCCTTAACTTCATTCCCATGTCATTTACCAGCTCTTTGGAAAACCTTGATAAGTTAACGCAAACTCGACTCGACTCGGCTCGGCTGCGCCGTGGGCCCCTGTGTTCGTATTCATGCCCTGGCCGACTTCTTGCCGCCGGCCTCCCGGGGCTTTGTTGCTGGGTAGATTTTAAGGAGCTGCTGTCTGATTGGCTGCCGTGCATGCTCCCTCCAGCCAATCGGATGAGGGCTCGGGTCGGTTCCCGCGCAGGGCCGGACCTGCGGCTGGCGCGTCCCGCGGGACGCGGAGGGGGCGCGGGGCCGCAGCGGGCTCCCCCTCGGGTGCGCCTGCGAAATTACAAGGCTCTGCGGCAGGGGAAAATGCCGCTTGTTTCTTAAACCGCGAACTTCGATACGGGCTATTAAACACGGGGGAGGGGGAATAAGCTAAAGATTTTTCTAATCACGGTGGACCTTTTTTGCTGGATGTTCACTAGGTGAAATAGGACAGGATGGTGACGTAATTTTTTCTTAGAAAATGGCACATTCTTCTTTCACATTGTTCAGCCAACACTAACATAATTTTAGCCTAGAACGGAGGAAAAGTCAAATCGTCTGGTGTGCTGTAAGAAATATTACTTGCACTTACCATATGTCCTTTGCTTTGTTTATTACATTTTAAAATAAAGGCATAGTCATATGTGGATCTCAGTAGGCTGGTGGTATCTTGCATTCAGTCAGATCAGTAGACTTGTATTAGTGGTAGAAAAAAATAGCACGTTATTTCAGTGCATGTTCTGTAAGAATAGATCGTAAATGGTTATTTTTTTCTTCTTTGAAAATAGTTTTTAAATTTCTGACAACTTGTATCAACGTTGCTTTAGAGGATTTCAACTGAAAACTGCTTTTTATGAACCGCTACTTAAAAGGTAGGTTCTGTTCACGGCTTTCATTCTCTGGAACTCTCCATCTAGAACAAAATTCTCCTGACCATTTGCTGCCTCGCTTTCCTTGGTTTGGCTATGCTACATTTAAGTAGGCTTGCATATTTGAGCACTTGATTTTCATGATCAAAGCCTTTACTTCCTCCATGTAGTTCTTATGCTTTGGCAAATGTCTTATGATTAATGGTGCTTTTGGCTAGCACTGCTTGCACGGCAGGAACCCTGTGCCGATGCTGTTCTAGACCGGTAATACCATGCAAACTCCATTGTGCACTGTTTAAATTCCAGTTTTCCCACTCCCCCTCCCCACCCCCCCCTCTATGTTTCCATGACCTTCTCTTTGTCTGTTGCCTGTTACCAGGCGGGATTCAGGCAGCTGCTTATTGATTGGCTAACGTTTCAAGCAGCTTTTGGACTGCTCATAGGAGCACACGATTATAGGCTAATCCATAGCAGCTAAACATCTTTCATTGTTGCTTTAGAGCTGCGATCTCTCTACAGAGTAATAATAATAAAAAAAAAGATACAGAGGGAAAAACTAATTGGCTGAGGAATCCTTCTTGTATTCCTAGCTGCACTGCCACATTTTGGTTTTGCTATGGTAGCACACATTTGGTCATGAGGAAGAAATCTCCAAATATTATGGGGGGAGGTGCCTGATGGTGTGTTTGTGTGTCTCATGCTGAAGTATATATGACTTAAAAGCTTAAAATGAAAAAGAGAATTTTCATAAATTGTACCTAAACAATTAGACACGATGTTTGTGTGTGTTGGTTTCAAAATTGCTTGTGTTTAAAAAATCAAAACAGAAAAAGCAACCCTAAACCTACCATTTTTTTAAAGCATTTAACCCATACACACTTATTTCTGCATGCGGCGGTCATTTTGTGCATGATATTTAGCTGTTAGCGTTTAGTGTTCATCTTTTAATCTCATCTATGCTTATAATTTTGTCACAGTAGCTTTTACTGGATATTCTTCGGTTGCAAAAGATTGTGGGATTGAGCTGAAAATACGCATGAGTTACTCATAATAACCTTCTGTACAAATGCCTTTCTTTGAAATAAAGATGCCCCTCTATTGGCTTGGGGCCTGGGCCACTCATTTCCTTTTTATGACTTGGTCACATGATGAGTAAAAACTGAAAATACCCAGGCATCAGTTGAGGGAAGCGCAGAGCTAAACTTTGTGTTGGTTAAGTATAAAGGGAGGCTACCAACATACATACCTTTAGAACACTACTAGTTTTAAATGTTTTAATTGTGCAAAATTCTTGAAACCTGCTCAGGAGTTGCTCTCTTTGAAAAACTGGAAGGCAGTATTTATTAGATGGCTGCTGATTGGCTTGCCCCGATATGACTAAACCTGTCTGGACCGGTTACCGATTTAATTGTTCTGTCACTCGGCTCTCACATGGAAATGCATTACTTGGCTGCAGTGTGCTCCCTTGTGGGTATGGCTGGAAACGCTTTAAGGCTGGTCTGCAGTGATACATGATATTTAGCTGTTAACCAGTGTTTAGCGTTCATCTTTTAATCTCATCTATGCTTATAATTTTGTCACAGTAGCTATTACTGGATATTCTTTGGTTGCAAAAGATTGTGGGATTGAGCTGAAAATACGTATGAGTTACTCATAACCATTTAATAATGGAATTTTGAGGAGCCTTTTTTTGTACAGGTTCACTTAGAGCTGTATTAGAGTTTTGTTTTTAAACTAGATTTTGGATAATATTCTAGGATATGAAGTAAACGAAATTTTGAAATATCTTAGAAAATCAAGCTTATTCAGTATTTTTTTAAAGAAAAGAGTAAGGATGCATCAATGTAAAGGTATTCTGATGTTTGATTTTTAAGACTGCTATTCTTGGCAAATTTTAAAAGGAAGTGCTTTTTGTTTTACTCTGTATTTACAGTGTTTTATATTAAAAATATGAGTGAAAGACTGCTTAGATGATTAAGGAAACCAGATCAGAAAAATACTAATATGTTTTATCTGTTATGATTGCTGAAGTGATTCACTTATGAATTTGATTTTAAGTTGTCTGTGAACATTTTATTAATCTGTTAGTATATCTTTTGGTTAGAGGAAAGGCAGGATTGTGAATTTTGTAATATAAGAATTTTTAGATTCAGGGTAGTGCTTATAAAATGCTTATAAAAGAAAGCACTGTAGTTTAGGAGATCATTGTCTGTCTTAATTTTGATATAAAGGCCTTGTATTCTTGTACTACATTAACAGAAGAATCTCGCTAGCTAGTCCCCTATTAGGATCTCTTGGAATTGTTCAAGGTTAGCTGAGCCTGGAATCATCTATTTTTTTTCAAATGGCTCTGCAATATATATAGAAAGATAAAATAAATGTAAAATGATGGACCCAAGAGTATTTCTTACTTTTATGTGAAAAGAGAGACTGCTGGCTTTTACATTAGCACAATATATGTTTCTGGCTAGAAAATCTCATTATCTAGAAAACCTCATTATGTGGCTTTGCTGTAATAATAATAATTCAAGATAACTGATGTAGAATGTATAGTCAGAATATTACTACATAATTTTATAGTGTGACCTCAGTGATCTTTACATACATGTTTTTGTGCAGCATACATAGAAACTTATATTCACTTTTTCTGAGGACAAACTAAATTTAAGTGTGTTGTCAGATATTTGTTTTTGTAGATAACAGTTAAGACAGTTTACTTTAAAATGGGCTAAATGCTGCAGTCTTAGGGATGCTGTGCTTTGATAATTTTTACCTTCACAATTCTTTCTGAACTTTTTTTAAGGGTCAAGATGGATAGCACAGATGAACCTCAGAAGAAAGTCTTTAAAGCACGAAAAACAATGAGAGCGAGTGATCGACAACAACTTGAAGCTGTCTATAAGGTTAAAGAGGAGCTGTTGAAAACAACTGAAGTTAAACTGTTAAATGGAAAGCATGAGAATGGAGATTCTGACTTAAATTCCTGTTTAAGCAGTCCAGACTGTATGGAGGAGAAGAGGGAAGTTAATGGCCTAGTGGACTTGTCTGCTAACTCTGAAGAAGGAAGAACAGCTTCTGATGACATTAGTGAAGCCAAAAGCCCTGAAAGTAGGGCAGGGGACAATGACATAGAACCCAAACCTCTAACACAGTCTCCAGAGAATATTACTCTTGAGCAGGACAAAAGTACTGATAGTGCTTTAGAATGTAAAGCTGAAAATGGAGTGGTTGGTAGCAATAAAGATAACTTCCATGAAGAAAATAATACAAAAGATCATTTGGACCAAAGAGAGAGTAACATCCCATCAGAAGGTGAAAGTAAATCAGTTTGTGATATTAGTGACTCTTCTGAAGTGAACGGAGAAAAAAATGACATACCTATTAATTCCAATTTATCTGATGAGGAAAAGAGGACTGAACAAGTAACCGTTGAAGACACTGTTGGAGAAGACGCCATCTCTAGCAGCATGGAAGCTAACCAGGAACCAAAGGACAAACAAGATGGCACTGCAGGTCTGTCAGAAACCACTGTTCAGAAGACAGATGAGCCAAGTGGAAGTACCTTGGACAATACTGACTCTATGGAAACAGATGAAATTATTCCAATTTTGGAAAAACTGGCCCCTGCTGAAGATGAACTGAGCTGTTTTTCTAAAAGTTCTCTACTTCCAGGGGATGACACAGTCCCAGATTTAGAAGAGAAAATAGACAACTGTTTGGGTTCACCATCCAAGCAGGAAAGCAATGAAAGTCTGCCAAAAGAGGCTTTCTTAGTACTGTCTGATGAAGAGGATCCCTGTGATGAGAAGGAGGAACATGCTGAAGTGCTACTACCAAACAAGTCAAGTCTTCCAGGTAAATTTTATAAATTGGTAATTTTGATTCGAGTCCATGTTTTTGTTCACTTCTTAAAATGACACATTTGTGACGTGTCTAAATTAAAAAGGCAGTCTTACCCACCAGTTCTGTGTTATGTAGTCTTACATTCATGGATGGAATTTGAGGCCCAGAAAAAAAAAGTTTAACACCAAAAAAACTGTCATGTTTGGGATCTGGTTTATTTGGTTTGGTTTTTTTTCCTCATGCTCTTTGCAGACTGGGGTGGCGTGGTGGTGGAAGAAGACGAAAGATGAGTAATTGCCAGACATGGAACAGAAAGATTTGTAGTAATAGAAATGTTTATATTTACTGTCCTTGAGCAGAAGAAAGCATTTCAACTTTCTTTTAACATTCAAATAGATAGCAAGAATAACATGCTGGTAATCCAGGCATGCCACAAGTTCCATTTGTTTCAAATTTTTTTTTCACCAAAAGACAGTATTAGGAAGTTTTAAGGAAAAACACATGTTATGGTTTTCATGCTGTATACCTTTTATTAATTTAATTCATAGTGGTTTTTATCTAAATTTTGTCTGACTATGCCAAGTGATAAACATTCGAAAGTGTAGGAGACTGGTAGTCTCTTCAAGTAGTTAGCAGAAGATCTTTTTATGTTTAACTGAATGGATATCTTATGTATTATTGTCAGTTTTTAAAGCATATTTATTTTTTTCACATAGGGCACTTATTGTCATACCATTGAACTTCTGAAATTAAAATGGGTGAATAATTTACATATAAACTGACACTGCTCTTTAATTAAGCTGTTGTTTTAAATTATCTTGGTTTCCTTTTTTCATTTTTTTTCCCTGTTGCATAGGTTTTTTATGAAATTATGACCATGCTAACACAACGTGTTTAAACATGCTTGACTGGGTAGGAATCCCATAGATTAAACAAGATTCAGGTGTCTTTCAATCTCTGGAAAGTTAGTAACCATAGTTTCTCAATTCTTGTTTCACTGATGATGAAACTCTGTCTTCCACTAATGTGTGATGGCATTCAGTCTAAACAAGGGAGATAAGAATACGTCTCTTTAGCCATGTTTCAGACTCTTCCTCCTTTTCTGGTATTTACCTGTAAATTTGTGCCAGTTAAACAGAGAAAAGGCAGGTTCCATAGTTTCTTCTAAGAATCTGATTTAAGTGTTAGGTGTTGCTGACATTGCAAAGTGATACCACTGTTGTGCAATTAGTCATACAGAAACTATTTGGAAGTGGGGGGTGGCAGGGACAAAGAACATCGTGTGAACTTGTCAAAATGTATAAAATGTGCATCACAAATTGATCATTCTTGTTCTTACCACAGTTTAAGGGTTCTTTCATTGGAGATAAATTAAATTAGCATAGCAGGGTTGTTTTTTTCATCTTAGCAAAGGAGAAAACACACTACGGTCACAGATGAGTGTTTGCTCTGGAGCAGAAAGACAGAAGTGAATATTAAATATTGGACTACAGTTTGCAGAAGTTTAAAATTATTGTATCCCGCAAATTTTCACTTTTGGTGATGGGACAAGTTCTCTTGACTAGTTGTTTTATTTATTGGTTATAACAGTTTATGACTTTTACAGTTGCATGACTGTAACTGGGACTGTTCTTGAACTCTGGCCACTGTGAAGTATGTTCGGTCCTTGACCAGCAGTTACCTGTTAATTTCTGTGTTCTAAGCTTCATAAAGCTTGCCTATCAAGTTGCAGAGAAGGAAATTTTTCTGAATAGTACACTCTCTTTGAAATATTTCAAGCAGATCTCTTGGGGACCAATTTTGTACTAAATTTAACGATATTAATACACAAAATTTTGCAGTCCTTTCACCAGTACAAGTCTTTCAATAACAAAGATAATAGCAGAGAGGTTGCAGGAACAGGAAGCAATTGTATGAGAAAACAGGTAGAGTTGTCGTAAGAAGATAGAGGTTAACTTTTGGAAAGAGTCTGAGAATTAAATCTGTGGAGATGGTATGGAGATCATTTGAAGATGCTATACTGGAGGCACAGGTACGAACTCCTCAGTTAAAAAGTATGGTTTTCAGAAACCTCAGACAAAACCCAGCCTGGCTAAACAACAACGTAAATAATGCTACTTAGAAGATGGACAGATTAATAGAATCTTTTTCTCAAGTAGAATTAGTAAATATAATAGCTATGTTGACACTTAAGATTTTTGTAACATCAGATCATACATTAGAAAATCTTTGAGCTCTTTGGGTAGGTAAACAAACACGTGACAAGGAATTGATGTATTTGAATTCTTTTGGATATTCAAACACAAATAATTTCTTACCAAGAACTTTGGAAACTGAATTGTCTTCAAATAAGATGGAAAGTCCTTATGTAGAAAATAATAATTTGAAGAATGGAAAGTTAATCTACGATCTGTTCCAGAGACTGTGCTGTGCAACAGAATTAATAACGTACCTAAAATGAAGGGTGACTAGTGAGGTGATGGTTTCCTGATGATACTATGAAGAGCTGTAGAAGAATCTTACAGTGCTGAATGACTGGGGTATAAAAATAGCAGATGAAACTCACTGTGCTTAACTACAGAGTGGTACAGATGAGTATGAAAATGTTCATAGCTTGATAGAAAGATAAAACTGACTCATCACTCCATGATGATTTTCCAGGATTATAGTAGGTAATTTTGTGAAAACATTCACACAGTAACAGTTGAAGAAAGCAAATAAATAATGCTAGGAATAAATTAAGAAATTGAGGAAAACTTCACTATGGGATACCAATCTCTTAAATGTTTTGTATAATTCTCTTTCCCCTCCCCATATCAAAGAAGATGTCACAGAAGCGTAAAGAGTACATGAAAGAGCAACAGGGAAGATGATGAAATTGCAAAGTAGTTTGATGGGTTTTATTCCAACCTCTTATCTAAAGCATGTCCAGTTATATCAGATGGCTCAGGGACCTTGGCAGTTTACTTTTATCCATTTCCAAGGATGGATATACCACAACTTCTTCTTGGGTAGCCTAATATTTAGCCAACTTCAACAGTGAAAAACTTCCTGCTAAATTGTTATCAGCTGCGTTGCAATTTGTGTCTGTTGCTGTGCATTTTAAAGACTAGTGGCTTCATCTTGTCTTTGCCTTCTCATTATGTAATGGAAGGCAGCGATACAGTCTCCAGTCTTCACTTGTTAAGGCTGAGCAAATCCAGTTCTGTCATCTGCTCATATAGCATGTACTTCATCCCCTTGATCTTTCTGGTGACCCTCCACTGGACTTGCTCTGATTTTTGTCAGTGCCTTTCTAGTACTGGCTATCCAAAAAACAGACATAGTGCTGCAGATAGGGGTTTCTCAAGTGCTGGACAGAGAAGAATCACTTCCCTTATCCTGCTGGACATACTTCTTAATACAGCCTGAAATGCTGTTGAACTTGTTTCACACTATTGACAAATGTTCAAATTGTTTTCCACCGGGAATCAAGACCCTGTTGTACAAAGTCCTGTTCTAGCCAGTCAACCCCCAGCCTGTCTTAATGCATAGGATTATTCTGTCCCAGATGCAGAACTTTGCATTTGCACTTGCTGCACTTTGTGCTAGCCCATTTTTCCAGCCTGACAGTGTGCCTCTGAATAGCAGCTGTGCCCTGTAGAATATTTGCCATTCCTTCCAGTTTGTATCTGCAAACTTGCTAGCTGTGATCGCCTGCTCACAGGTCCAGTTCATTAGTAAGTACGATAAACGGCATTAGCCCAGTATGGATCCCTGAAGACTGCCTCTAGTGCTAAGCCACCGACTGGACTATATACCACTGATACCAATTCTTTGAGCCCATCATGAAAAGCTTCCAGGTCTGTCAGACACGATTGGCCCTTACTAAATCCAAGCTGAATACTGCCCACAACCTTTCTTTCCTTTGTGTGCCTGGCAGTGGCTTGCTATGAGGAATATAGATGTCAGATGAGGCCAACCAGCCTGTAGTTTCCATGAATCATCCTCCTTGACTGTCCTGAAGATGACTCTGACATTTCCCTTTTCCCAGTCATCAGAAGCTTCACTTAGTTGCCATGAAGATGGTAGAGAGGGGTCTCACAATGCCACCAGCCTTTCTCAGCACTCTTGGGTACATCTCATCTGTTCCTGTGGACTTGTCTATCCACCTGGATGATGTGTGCTTTAGCTCTGTCTTCTTGACTCTGGGATAGCAGTTCACTTATGCAGACTCTGCCAGGGTGTGTCTCTCTGCTTTCAGGAACCTAGGAGGGAAATTTGCCAGTGAAAAATGGAGACAGAGATATTAAATACCTCAGCATTTTCCATGTACACAGTCATTAGGTTGCCTGGCCCAGTGAGTAGTGACTCCACAATTTTCCTTAGTCTTTTGCTGCCATTGTAGTTATAGAAGCTCTTCTTGTCCATTACATCCCTCCCTAGCTTCAATTCCAGTTGGGCTTTGGCTTTTGTTATTCCATTCCTGCACAACTGGACAATGTCCCTGTATTCCTCTTGCTTCCTCCTTGTGTGTAATTCTTTTTTACACTAGACATCTGTCAGGAGGTCCCTCTTCACCTATGCCGGCTTCCTTCCATGCTGTCTCTATATTCTTCTGCACATTGAAATGAACTGTTCTCACTCTTTGAGGAAGCTGTCCTTGAAGAACAACTCTTCCACATCCTTTTGCTTTCCAGCTTAGCTCCCTTTGGGATACTACCAGGTAGGTCCTGAATAAGGTGAAATATGCCGTCTGGAATGCAAGGACTGTAATGATACTTGTCCTGCTGATTTCTTGCAGGATTTTTAATTCCACAGCCTGCAGGTTGCTGCAGGTGAACCTATTCTTGACCTTCATGTGCCAGACCTATTCTTCTTCGTGAATAACAAACCAAACAGAGCAACTCTCCTAGTGGACTCATCAGTCGTCTGTGTCAAGAAATTGTCTCCAGCACACTCCGGAAACTATCTGGATTTTGCCAAATCATAAGCCCTTCCAGTTAGGGTACATCCAGGAGTCAGTCCTAAGA